CTGTACAAGGCCAGGAAGCAGGTAAGCTGTTGAATTGTTGCTTCAGAGAAGCAGCTTTTTTTCTTTTCAGGCTCACTTTTCTAGCTCTAAAACCTAATCCATTAACTTCAACCACTCTGGCAAATAAACAGTACTTATTAGAAAATGCAGCATCAAACCAGAATCATCTTCCCCATTGGTAATCCTCTGCCTTTAGTTGAAGAGGGTACAGTACATTAGATAGATTACCTGGTTTGTGTGCTTAACTGAAGAAACACGTTGTCTAATTACTAAAACAGAAACCTGTTTTTCCCTGATACCTGTAGAGATTGATCGGTCTGGCATGGTTTCCTTTACTTTTTTGGATCCTAAAATTGTTAGAAACTACATATTGCTTATACTTTAGTCTGAGGTAATCAGTCTCAACTGACATATTTTATTTACAATGGAGAGGTGACCAATTATATCCTACTGAGGTAATTTAAAATACTTAAAATAGTTGTTGTATTAATAAAAAAAAATGATTAAAATATGGAAAAACCATTTGGAGGTTAAGGACATAAGGAGGGTTATGAATGAGAAGAAACCATGTCTGTATTTATTAATTTTCATAGACTCGTACTTCAATAGTATGTTTTTGAAGTACAGTATGACCATCCTTTTTCTGTTGGCTTTTTGTCCGTCTGTTCTCAGTTCACTTGCCTGTTATTTCTGCCTCATTTCATCATAATCCATCCATCTATTCTCTAACAGCTTTCTCCAGTAGAGGGTCACAGGGGTGCTAGAGCCTAACCTAACAAGGAATTGGTGCAAGGCAGAATACGCTTTGGACAGGATGCCAGTACATTGCAGGGCACACGCAGACACAAAAACACTCTCACACTAAGACTGATCAATATCCAGAAACCAGTTCATTTCCCAGTAGCCACCAGCCCTGTCACCTTGTAACTTACAATTGGCAGCCCACTGAAGCTAAGCAGGTGTGAGCCTGCTCAGTACCTGGATGGGAGACCTCCTGGAAAAAACTAAGGTCGCTGCTGGAAGAGGTGTTAGTGAGGCCAGCAGGGGGCGCTCACCCTGCGGTCCATGTGGGTCCTAATGCCCCAGTTTAGTGACGGGGACACTATACTGTAAAAAAGCACCGTCTTTCGGATGAGACGTAAAACTGAGGTCCTTACTCTCTGTGGTCATTAAAAATCTCAGGGTGTTTCTTGAAAAGAGTAGGGGTGTAAAACGGCGTCCTGGTAAAATATCCTATGCCTCCTAATAATCCCCCTCTATGAATTGGCTACATCACTTTGTTCTCCTCCCCCTCCCCGCCCCTGACGCAGGCAGAGCGACGTGCTGGTTGGAGTATTCTCGGTCGCATTTAATGGCAACGTCAGCTCAAAGATTTGGTTCAAACCAAATTTATAGGATATAAATGGAGACATGCGAGCCGACAATGGCAATACTCGCACTAACCTACACATAACATAAACAATGTACAGTACAAGTTAAGTTATTTACAAATTTACACACAAGGCTTCCGAGAGGCCTATGTCCTGACCACCCAGAAACCCCCGATCTGCTATCCAGTATTTAAACACTTACTGTATATAAAGCCTACAAAGGACAAAATAATATAATTCTGTCTTCTAAACCAAGGGAATATAACCCAAGGTGAAATATCTTTAAACCCAGATGGTACCAAATGAATGGGAACCTATGTCCCTACTCTAAAAATGCAGCCACTAACCAGAAGAGACCATTTTTAACCGAGAGAGTCTTTCCACAGGAAATCAACAGTCATAACAACAACAGAATAACAAGCTGTCTTAATAAGGTTCAAATACTTAACTCAGATCTG